CTCTGTTGACAATTAGATGAAACCAGCAAAATTTGTCTTAACAAATTTCAAGAAAACAAAATAACCTCACCACCCAATTTTTGAAAAACAATCTGACCAGAAACATTTTGTTTTTGCTAGGCCTTTTGTAATTTTCTATACAAGTTTAATTTCACTTAGTTCAAAGACTGCATGGGTATAGCACCCTCTGTAGGCCAGATTACAGTATGTACATGTATGTGGTTTTTTGTATTGAGGAAAAGCCACCATAATAACCAAAGTAATATTTTTAGCTCATTTTTATGGACTTGTATATAACTCTTCTACATTTTAAAATAATAAAGACTATTTACAAAGTTTATGCTAGCAATACTATCACAATTGATTTTCATCCCAGTAACAGGTGGTCTTCTTAACAATTCCTACAGATATGTCATCTTATAGGCTAAAAATAAATGTCCCATAGGCTGCTATTCAGATCCTGTAGTTGCAAGATGTATGTTCCACTGCAGCGTGGCCTCGAAAGATAGTTGCTGGTAGCAGGATTGATGTACTATATATCACATATGTAGCATTGCTGTTCTTGGGTATACATAATACTAAAACAGAGTCTTTCTCCAGGCTCTCTGTGTCTTCAACATTTTTATTGTTTATAATTTTCCCCTTTACAATAGGATATTTTTGTGTAGAACAGACCAGTGATGCAGAAGGTTCATTTTCACCTTGCCCGTACCATCAAAGATGGAAGGGAAAGGTATATTAAGGAAAAAATTTTGTCCGGCGTTGTCGTCGTCGTCGTCGTCGTTGTCGTCGTCGTTAATAATTGTTATTGTGTGCATGATAACTTTACTAATTCTATTCCAAACTTCATCAAACTTGGTCACCTTGTTCATCAGTATAAAGTCTTCCCTGAGTTTGAACAACAGATGTCCTGTATGAAAATATCATGCAAAAATTGAGAAAAACTGATAAAATATTTTGACTGTTTCTACTTGACTGATCACTGGTGATACACATCAAAGGTCACTGATCTCAGTGGAAATAT